TCCTCGCCTTCCACGCCGTTCTTGACTTCTGTAAAGGTAAGGCGCCATCTATGCCTGCAACGACTGCAGAGACCACCTCATCAAGGACGCATTCCACGCAGGTGCGCTCTTGCTGTGGCCTTGAATCCATCTGTGGAGCTTCTGGATCGTTTCGTTGATGTGTCATTATCAGTGCAAGCAGTTCAACAGTTTTGCCAAGGCCCATTTCGTCGGCTAGGATGCCACCTGGTGGCACATGAAAAGGCGGCTCAGTGGGTAGGCAGTCGACGTCGAAGACAGTACCAGTGAAACGAGAATAGTAGAATGGTGGATCGGCAGGTATACGAAGGAAAAATTCCTCGTTGGAATAATCGAGTTGGGCATGAAGTTCACGTGAGATCATAAAACGTACGGCATCAACCTGAGAATTGAAACCAATTTGCAAAGCTGTGTTCAGCAGAATTATTACATAGGAGTGAAGCGAAAAAAAAAAGTTTCAAACGTGAACATTTTTGTAAAGATTCACTTGATAGGGTCGTAAGATGGGTACGATCGAGTCGGTTTTCAACTTCCAATTGCTCACTTCCGGCCGCCTTTTTGATAGAAGTCGTAAGAAGCCGTCACAATCCTCTTTCGTCTTCATTGTACACTCCTCATCAATTTCATCGGCTGCTAAACGTTCGACATGGTCGGGAAAGAACCACGCCATAACATTATTGATGTTCACATAAGCGGCTGATGGAACAGCGCTGAGATCGTTCAAAACCGATGCTGACAGACATATTTGGAGTTCCAATGCGCCCAGTGGTGGTCCATTGGAGGAACCATCCGAGAAAGAAGAGAGCGCAGATGTGGAACAAGCGGAATCCGATGGAGTCCACTGGGACGTGCTTGGAGGAGGCTGGCTTTCAGTGTTCAATTTGAGGGTGGTTGACAATTTCAGTGCGAAATATTTACGACTCAGCGCTAAATTATTCAGAAGTGTAAGAATGTTGTGGTTTGTGACTGAACTGCCACTCGATTCATCACCGGATTCGACGTCGATTTTGCATTCGAAAAGTCCAAGAGGTGCACGACGACGAGCACAGCGACGGGACGGTACGATAGCAGTTTGCAGCTGAAATGAAGTTGGTTGCGTTCAA